GTTGCCGGGTTTGGTGATGCTTGTGTTATCTGCAGTGCTCAGGATCCAAGTCAGGGCCTCGTGCATGTAAGGCAAGCATTCCACCATCTAGCCACACCCCCACAACACTATGGATCATGTTTGGTATTTCCTCGGTCTTTGGGAAGGATGTATGATACCCAACAACACATCATTCCACGCCTTTGTTGCTAAAGGTTGTGGTTTTAATGGTCTGGGAAACGACACAGTTTCATGCCACTCTTTGAGGCCCATTTGAATCCCATTTTCATCAAGGTGGTCATAAAATCATACACTGTTTTTTTTCCAAAGTCTTGTTTTGATTCTGATGAATGAAAACTTGCATCTTCTAGTGGTAAAGACGACGGTTTTGCTGGCTGACATAAATGACTTCGGCACAGTCAATGAAATCTACAAAACGTGTAAGTAATTTGTCTTTGCCCCTACTAACTTTTAAAGGGAAATAAATCTGCTAATGTAAATGAGCATTATTGTCAAGTAAAAGTGACAGAGATGTTAAAATGCTATTTGATCCCATGGCAATCCCTCTTCTGCTTGGAAACATACAGTATGCCCACGTGGGAAAGATCTCCTATATTTCCATCACAGTTCCTAAACATATAAGATACGTAAACCCTGCAAGTTCATTTTCTTAAAACCTGATTTTATTATTTGTTTCTTTGGTTTTTTAAACCCTCCCCTAAATTTTTTTTCTAGACATATAGACTTGTTGCTATTGCTATGGATATGGTCTAGCTACCTTGTTCTCTCTCAGAATCAGTAGGTAGTTAACGTTTTAATACTTTGGTTTCTTAGTATGTAAAGAGAGGACAGTATTCTGGTACCTTCGGAGGCTGTTGGAATAGGTAAATGAAGGATAGATGCTGGTACTGAGCAATACTACTGTTGCTGTCGTTGTCATGGTAGGAAAAGTGGGTCACTGTCTCCTGGTAGGATGAGATAAAGGTGTGGTATGGAAAAATTTCATTATTATTCTCAGCAGAGGAAATGACAGAGAAGGCCAGAGTTATGGGAAAGTCCTTGCTGAAGATAAGGAGCCATACCCTATTTTGATAACTGCTCTATAGATATCATTTTAAATCCCAAACCCATTCTCGTCATTACAAGACAAAAATGCCAGATTGTGTCTTTCGTTGTTTTATAGAATACTTAGGAAAGTACTAAATGTCATAAAGTCATGTGGCAGAATGTTTTGAAGTGTCATTTGGGTCTGGGAACCGACCAGGCCAAGAGTCAGTCCCTAGGCTCTTGCTTCTCTTCCTGAGACTAACCTGATGTTTGTTCTACACTCAGATTTCAAGAGTAACTTTCCTGCCAGAGCCGCTTACCAGGTCGCCGCTCTGCCCAGAGTAAGTATGAAGTAACATGGCCAAGTGTGCACGGGCACACAACTCGTCACTCTGAAAGGACAGACACTTAAGTGTAGTACAGTTCCCGTTTCTCAGAAATATAAAGCCTAAATGTAAAAACCCGGATAACCGCTATGTACCTAGGAAAAAAAAAAACTAAGAAGTCTTACAGAGCACCACACGGGCATGACACGATCCAGAGATTTAAATTATGAGAAAAACCTTGTGTGAGAAAGAGCAGTTGTGTTGTCATGTTACTTAGGGAATGAAATTTGTGCTAAGTGCCCAGGTTTTGGTTCTGTAGTGAAAGCCTTCCCCTGGAGGAGTGGTGGATTGCCCGGGCCCCTCATGTGTGACCTCAGGCTAGTCTTCCATCATCATGCCTGAGTGGCCTCCTTTAAGTAAGGACTTCTATAAATGGAACGCAGGGTAGAATTCTGTGGAGACCTCTAGGCGGCCTTTGCTCTTGATGAAGGAAGCCCCGCAGACCAGCAAGGTGTGAGTGAAACTCATACTCTTGCTAGTTTCTACTTTAGAGTATTGGACAGAGAATCCTGATATTATTACTATTATTTACCCTAATAAAGAAAGATTCAATGGGCTCCTACAATAGTCTGGGCTTCTCGCTGGATCAATGCTTGCTAAACCAGTGGCACACAATGCCACCATTTCGGTTTTGGTGTCCCCTCGCTAGGGCCTCTTTCGCTATGCCTCCTGCCTGTAGCTTACGCCTGCAGCCAAGCGACAGGTCCTACTCACTCACTTCCCGTAAGTTGTCAGTAAAGACACTGTGTCACCTAGCAGTGTCAATTGTTGTTTTAATTGGTTGTTACTGGGAAGGGTCATTGGTCATTGTAGTTGAGAGAGCTTTAGACTTAGACTCAAAAGACATGGGTTTGGTCACCCGCTGTTTATCTTTACCACTTGGGACAACTTTGCCAGCCCATCTGAGGTCAGTGCCGTGTTTAACGACCTGGGCTGTTGTGGTATCAGATGAGTTAATGTATATGAATGTGCCTGTTACAGGGTCTTAGTGGATTTTCTCTATTCTTTGCTTTCTGTGAAGAGATTAATGGTAAAAACGCTACGTTGCCATTAATCTCATATGTTTTAAGAAGGTATTATTGAACTTTTTAGTTTGTATTAAATGATAAATGATAGAGACATCGACTTTTTTGTTTTCCTTACAGGGAAGTCGAATCGAAATCGAAGCAATTGCTGTCATGGGGCCTTTCACCACCGCAGGGCTATAAGTGGCCACACTGATGTCGACTCTAGATTTTTTTTTTTTTTTGGAATGTCTTTCACACCTTAATTTTTACAAATGATTCTGGGAAGTGCAAGTGACCAAGTGGCTGAGGTTATCGTGGAAATGAGCTTACGTAGGAAGAAGATTTGTCTTGAACGGGAGGTCACTCAGAACCCGGCTGATGCTGTGACTGTATTGACGTACACTCACATCTCTGAGTGAGGGAAGGCTCAGCACGCCACTCAGATGAGCAGCAGGAGAGGGAAAGATGAGCAAAGAGCACATCTAATTAATTAAATTAGACTAATCTGTTTATGCGAAATATCTAGTTCTCATTCATGTTAGATATAGGAAACCAAATCAAAGTATTCTAACTTGAATAGTGCAGGAGAATGAAATGAACCAAAATCTCAAACAGATAATATTTTTCTAATGGAAATAAAAATAGATGTGTAACTTTCCCTTGGTGTTGTCGTGGTCTCTAATTTTTTTTGACACTTGAATTATAACAACAACAGGCCATGGTGGTGCACGCCTTTAGACCCAGCCATGGCCATGGTGTCTCTTCACAGCCATGGAACATTAACTAAAACAATATTTTTATGGACTTTTCAAAGAGTTTCAATGTAGTCATGTCTAAAGAGCATTTAGCTTACTTTGTTCCTCCAGGAGATTTATGTATGCTTTCTTGTGCACTGGGGATTGAGTCAGTCATCAGCAGAATAATTTTCAGTAAATTATGCTGTATCTAAATGTGCCTGAAATAAAAGACTTGGGGTCAGACTTCCTAAGTTTGAGCCAGCAGTGGCTACTGTCTCTTGTTGAGCCAATCTGCCTTCTTACCTCCCATGGCGCAAATCTCTCTGATCCCCGTGAAGGTCACACATGCGATACCCTCCCAACCTCCTTCTCACATTTAAATCACGACCTGCAAACCAAACTCTAGGTGAAAGATCTGGCCAGGTGGTGTTGGCTCACACCTTTAACCCCAGCACTCGGGAGGCAGAGGCAGGTGGATCTTTGTGAGCTCGAGACCAGCCTGGTCTACAAAAGCTCGTTCCAGGACAGGCTCCAAAGCCACAGAGAAACCCTGTTGAAAAAACAAAAACAAAAAAAAAATCTGAAGATCTGGAAATGAAATGAGACGTGGCCCCATGTTAACTGAGTCATTCGTGGCCAGGTCTGGACCTTGCAGACCAAAGGAGAAGCACTACATTTTACTAAATTTGAAGAACAGTAATGGTGACCTTCCAGACATGGTTATAGTAAACCAGGCTTAGAATGATCGCTCCGGAGTGGAGATTATAAATTCAAGGTCATCATTGACTTCATAGTGAGCTCCAGGACCACCACCCTGGAGTACACGAAACCCTGTCTCAAAATAAACAAATAAGAGTTAAACACACTACAAGATACTTAAAAACAAGTCACCCATTTCTTTACTGTCATCATATCCTTTTTTATTCTTGTGATTTTTGAAACAGGGTCTTGCTGTGTAACCTTGGCCGGCCTAGATCTCACTTTGTAGACCAGGTTGGCCTCCAGCTCACCGAGATCCACCTGTCTCTGCTTTCCAAGTGCTGGAATCAAAGGTGGGCGACACCACACCTTGATATTCCATCAACACCAAACACTTAACAAAGAACAAATCGACCGCTATATTTTGATTCACACACAATCATCACCCAAGTCCTTTGCTTGCTCTGGAAAAACTCTGGAAAAATGGCTTTCTGTGATACACAAACACATTTTAAATCTTGACTTCTTAGCTCTCTTCATATCCAAAACCTAATGCTAACTTGCAGTCATCTAAAAGGAAGCAGGGCTCAGGAAGATTCCCCATAAACAATAAAGCTAGGGCGTTCTTGTTGGGTTTTTGTTGTTTTTTTTGTTTTGTTTTGTTTTGTTTTTACCTTTTTCCCCATGTGTGTGTGGAATGCGTGCACACATGCTCACATATGTGTGGAGAAATGCATGTACGTGTGTGTGTGTGTGTGTGTGTGTGTGTGTGTGTGTGTGTAGAGGGACAAAGTTGATCTCAAAATCATCTCTCAATAACTACATCATCTTATTCTTCAAGGTTGGAGCATCTCTCAGTCAAGCCCATAGCTTGCCAGTAAAATTATCTCCCAAGCCAGGCTGTTCTGAGGATCCTGTGGCTTCCTTCTGGGCTAGATTTACAGGCAGCTTCCACGCCCAGCCAGGGTTGTTTCTGAGACTCCCAACTCCCATTCTTTGGTTTTGGCTTCGAAGACTTCACTGCTAAGCTGTCTCTCTCTCATAGCCCTAGGACTTAATCCTTGCTGGGTTTGCTTTATTTGTTATTGCCCCAGGAATGCATTAAAAGTCAACTAATTTAAAACCATTTTACCGTTAGTAAGTATAACAACAGCAACAACAAAAATCACCAAACTGAAACACCTCGAGTAAGCGTAAAATCAGCAGCTGATTCAAAATGGCACGTGGGAAAT